CACCTCTGATCGTGTGTGAGTGTTTGCTGTGCTCTTTCCGTCTCTTCCCGTTCTGCCTCTTGCCCGTTCTAGCGTCTCTGGTTCCTCTGTTCTCTCGGCGCCGGTGCCGCGTTTACTGTGACCGCCACATTGGTGCGCACGTGGCTGCCGCCGGCAAGATGATATTTTTGCCGTGGCGGGGGGCTGGCGCTGGCAGATCGTCTCTATTTTGCGGAAGTGGTTCAAGTTCCCATCAATGATTCGTGTGATGGTTTTTGCTACAGGTGTGTCGCTGGCGGCTGCCTGGAGTGGTACTGGACGGGAGTGGGGGGAACGTGGAGGCAAGGCAGGGTGGGAGGCACGGCGGGGAGGGGGGAAGGAGGGAGTGCAGGAAGGGACGATGATACGAGGAGGACGAGGGAACGAGGAGGACGAGGACGGACGGGGAGGACGTGGGCGGACGAGGGCGGACGAGGGAACGAGCAGGAGGCAACGAGGAGGACGAAGGAATGAGGGAGGGGTGGTGGCACGGAGCGGGAGGGGTGGGGAGGGGCAAGTTGCAACGAGCTTGGGGCAGGCAGGGGAGGCGCGTGTCAACACGTTGCGACCTGGCTCAGCGCCACTATTGGCCCACGTCTTGGCGAACGTGTCGCGTCTCAGTCTGCGTGTCGAGCTCCGTACCAGTCCGCTGCGTGTTGCGTGTTGCGCATCAGGACAGCTAAGCGTGTCGGTGATGTGGATGATGCTCTTGCGTTCCCGTGCCCCGTGCGATGGCCCGCTCCCCGCTGCAGTCCACCCGCACAGGAAGGACTGGCAGCGCTCCCAAGAGTACCCTTGCATCCTTGCCCCCCTCGGTCTAACCTGGGCCACGTTCGTTGGCCGCGCCCCGCTCGAAGAGCTCCGGCGTGGCCTTCCAAAGGCCCTCGCGTCATCCTTCTCGCGCATCCGGGCGGACTGCACCAGGGCGGTCCGCGCGGGTCTCTTCGGCCGGCGCGCCTCGCCCGGCGGTGGCGCCGCCAGGGTCGGGGGCGGCCCAGCGCCTCCGAGGGTCTCCAGAAATTCTCCTTCGCTGCCGGCTTCTGCCCTTCTGTCAACATCCCCGTGTGCTCCCGCCCCCCCAGACCCGCCTCCGAGAGCAAGGGCGCCCTCGAGGGCGCGGAGTTCTTCTCCTTGGCGCTTCGCGCTTCGGCTCCGATTCCTCCTCATCCTCCTCTTCTCCCCGGGGAGGGAGGCGGCGCGAGAGCGCGAAGTCATTCGCACTGCGCGCTGCGCGCAGCGCGCAGCGCGAAGTGGGGAGCCCTTGGACAGGAAGTCCTTGCCGTCCGCGGCCCCAGGGTCCCCCACCCTTGGGGCAGTGCCGCGCCCCAGCGCCACTCCCGGCGGCCCCGGGGACCAGGAGGCCGAAGCCGGTCGGCGGCGAGGTCCGAACCCTGCCCTCGCCGATCCACGGAGCGATGCAGGCGCTCGATGGGCGGCTGGGGGGAGGGTTCGGAATTCGTCGAGGGCGTGGGGGCATCCGAGCCCCACCCCCCGCCGCTCAATTTGATTCAGGAGAGTCGAGACACGTAGAAGGAAACCGACGAAGGGAAGGAAGGAGAAGAAAGAGCAGCCCCCCACCACCACTAAGCCGGGAGCTTTAGGCCCTTTGCATCCTTCTCGAGCGTCCCTATACTACGGATTGTTGACTGCAGGGTGCGGGACCCAGGCCCCCGACGTCGTGATCTTTGCACGAGGTCGACCCCCAGAGGTCTGAACCCCTTCAGCCTGGGACCCGTGTCGCGCCCCGAGCCTGTTTTCTTCACGGCCCCCGAGGCCCAGCAAGGCCCCCGGAGGCCGACAACATAGCGAACAGCTTCCTGCCGTGTTCTTGCTCCCGCGGCGAGGGTGTCTGGGGATGCCGCCACCCAGGACACCGAGTAGAAACGTCCAGGCCGCAGCGGCACCCCTCCTCGGCAGGTCTTCTGGGAACAGAAAGTGGCATGAACAGAAAAACTCAGAGGTCCGCGCGGATTTCTCGGATCGGCGCTGAGGCCCCCTTGCGGCGCCTCTGGCGCCGCCCCTGGCGCGCTCCGCGCGCCAGGGAGGGGGGTCCAGCGCCGATCCGAGAAATCCGCACGGACCTCCGAGTTTTTCTGTTCATGCCACCTGTTGTTCCCCTAGAAACGTCCAGGCCGCAGCGGCACCCCCTCGTCGGCAAGATCGGGGCCTGCAGCCCTCCTCCCGCCGGCGCTCGCGCGGCCCCCCTCCTCGCCCGAGGCTGCGCAGGTCTGGCGGAGCCCGTGGCTGCCTGGGGCCACGCGGCCGGCGGCTCCTCCGTCCGGGCGTCCTGCGCGCGCGGGGTGCGGGGCCCTTCTCCTCTCCCCGTCTTCGAGGAGGAGGAGGAGGAGGAGGAGGAGGAGGAGGAGGAGGAGGAGGAGGAGGAGGAGGAGGAGGAGGGAGGAGGGAGGAGGGAGGAGGGAGGAGGAGGAGGAGGAGGAGGAGGAGGGAGGAGGAGGAGGAGGAGGAGGAGGAGGAGGAGGAGGAGGAGGCGCGGCTGGCCCCGCGAAGCGGAGCGCTCCTGCCCTCTCGGCGGAGGCTGGCCGAAGGCTCCCCGGACGCTGGCGGAAGCAAGTCGACGGCGGTGTGGCCAGACGCAGCGGGCAGGGTCGGCCAGGACTAGTGCGAGGATTGAGTCCGTTCCAGAGCTTTCCGGAAGTCTCTCAGAGAGTTCTAGAACGCTCTGAGGAGGCCGCGGCGCCCGAGACATTCTCCAGAGCCTCCGGATCTCAGAGATTCTCGATTGATCTTCACGCGAATTCATCTTCGTCCTGGCTTCGTCTTAGGGCCTTAGGGGTACAGTCAAAACGCATACTAGGGGTGCGCCGTACGGATGCAAGGGCCTCGAAAGGCCATGCTGACGTTTCTCGAACGGGGCAAGGAGGGGCCGAATGGGGCAACGAGGGGCCGAAGGATGCGTGGAGGGGCCGAAGGGTCAAGGATGCAAGGATAACCTTGGAAAGTCGTTTATCCCTAACTACTGTGTGCTTTGACGGTATTTAGTATTGTTTAACCGATCCCCATCCCCACCGGGCCATGGTATCACAGCCCCACCCCCCCACCACCCCAATAGACTGACAGGCCGTGCGAAACCCGAAGGGAGCAGCATGTACCCACATCCAGGGGGGAATCGGCCAGTGTGGCTTCGGAGGGACGCCAACAATACCCCCCCCCCCTTGCCAGGTCCATCCTGGGCCCTGGACTGGCGTATAGACCTCCAGGCCTAGGCCAGGGGGGCCTGTACAGCAGTCCAGGGCCCAGGATGCGCCCGGCCAGGGCTGGTGGTGGTGTGTTGTCTGGAGCTCGCCTGTGGCCAAGGCCTCGCCAGTGGGCACAGGCATCGGTCCAACGATGCTCAGGCACGGTGGGGATCGACGGGGGGCCCGAGGTGGCCCAGATGGGCTTCTGGCCAGCAGGACGGGGGGTCGGGTTCGAGGTGCGGGGCTCGACCAGGTCTGTGTCTGCTTTCGGCCTCCCGGGGGCCGCTTTTCGAACCCCCCGGCGGTTGAACGCGGATCCGGGATGGAACATGGCGCCAGGTGAGCGAGGCAAGAAAACGGGGTCGTCTCCGACGACGTTGGCACGTATCAGGAGGGCAAGAAACACAGACACAATTAATCATCGATCCTTGGGAAAATATGGGAAAATATGGAAAGCGGGGGGAAGACGAAAACCTTACAAATATGGGAAGGCATAGGAAAATATATAGATTTGTGTGTCCCAGGGCCCCTCTAGCGTAAGCTGCCCGCGTGAGGTCGCGCCCTCCCCCAGAGGGCTCCAGGGACAGCTTTGGAGCGGATTTGGCCCCCCCCCCCCCCCCCCCCCCTTCGATACCGATGTGCTCTTGGGCCCAGGCAGCTTAAGACCCCCCCGGCCGCCTCCCAGGGCACGGCAGGTGCGTGTCGTGCCGGCGCGGCCGAAACCCCGCCACGGACGCGCTCCAGGCGGAATGCCGCCAGTGGCCCGGAGCCTGCCGACATGGAGCGATCTGGCCATCGAAGAGCCGGCGATCTTTCAAGGCCGAGCGGTCCATGCGGTGTTTTTTGTTCGAAGGAGGAAGAGGCGCGCATACCTCTACCCTTCGGCCGTTTTCCCCCCTTTGGGCCTCCTGGGAGGCCCTCGGCGCCACCGCTGGATTCGCCTCGACATCCTGGTCCGAACGCACCCCAGGAGAGGTCCGGGGAGTACCGGTATCGGTACCTCTCGGCTTCCCAGGTGTCAGGCACCAGCGCCGGGGTCGTCATGACATGGACTGCCGGAAGTCAGCGACTACAAAGGGTACGGTTACGCTGGGGTGTGATTTGCGATCGGCACCGTTGGGGCCTGGGGGGCATGACGCTGTCCTCGTCGGGCCTCCTCGGCGCGCGCCCTCTAGGGTGCCCCCCGGCATGCTCCCCAGGGTGCCGGTTGCAAACCACACCCTTTGCAAACCACACACTTTGGAGTCGCCGAGTAAGGGTCAAGGGTTTTGTGAAGGGTTGGGCATCTCGTAACTGTCAGGAGAGGAAAAAACACACAGACACAATTCGTCGTCGATTCCCAGGAAAATATGGGGAAATATGGGCAGTGGGGGGAAAGACAAAAACCCAGAAAACATGGGGAAATATAGGGAATCCTGTTATTTGTGTGTATTTATTTGTGTGTCCCAGGGCCCTTTCAGACCGGGGAGCGGCAAAGGGGGGGGGCAGCGAGGGCGGCAGAGAAGGGGCCCTCTGGGGCCCCTAGAGAGACGCCCGTTGTAGGGCCCCAGAGGGGGCTGCTCGGGCCCGACAAGTGCACCAATCTCCCCCCCACCACACCTTACCAGCCTGGAACGTATCCCTATCCCTAAGATTGACACGCCAAAAGGCGATGACAATCTTAGGGATTTGCCCTCAAAAATGAGGGAATCCCTAAGACTGGCATCGTGATGAGGAGGTGCCCAGCATAGGGATAGGGATATGTGAACGCGGCTGTGAACGCGTTGGAAGACGCCGACGGCACGGTGCAGACAGACCCCGCAGAGGTTGCTCGCATTCTGCGCACGCACTGGGGCGATGTATTCGCCGCCCGCAGCCTGCGCCCGCAGGACGTGGAGGCGTGGATTCGCGCTGACGCAGCAGCGCTGGACGGCTTGGCCGCAGCTTTGCGGCATCTTCTGGAGGAGCCGGGGCGCTGGCGTGTACGCATGGAGGATATTGAGCAAGCGATCGAGCGAACTTCCCGTTCTGCGCCCGGGCCTGATGGCATTCCATACTTTGCGTGGCGGCGCTTGGGGCCTTTGGCCACTCGCGTGCTGCACGGGGTTTCAGAACTCTTGGAGTCCTCGGAGGGGCTCGCGGCGCTGGGCGAGGCATGTCCGCTCAATGCTGAAGGACATTCGGCATTCAACGAGGCCATCATGGTCTTTCTGTCCAAGAAGGACCCATTGATTTCGAATTCAGGCGTATCCTACACCAGGGCGGAGGACCTCAGACCACTCAGCATTGTCAACACAGACAACAGCTTACTAGCAAACGCGCTACGACTACGCATAGAACCCATTCTGGAGCAGGCCATTTCGAACATGCAGCAAGACTTCTTGGCCGGCAGGTCTATGTTGAAAACTGTCATCGACGTGGACTCGTCTATGAGAGAAGCGGCTTTGAACGCAGACGACCCCGCGGCCGTCTTCCACGACTTCCAAGCGGCATTCGCGTCGCTGTCTCACAGTTTCCTGCTGAAGTCGTTGCAAGGCCTGGGGCTGCCAGCGACGGTCTGCAGGTTCATGGAGTGTTTGTACTGGGGGCATGGTTGTCGACTGAGCGCCTGTGGACAACAGCACCCGGTCTTCAAGATCAGCGCGGGCATCCGGCAGGGATGCCCACTTTCTCCGCTGCTCTTTGCCGTTGTGGTGGATTCCTTGTTACGACGGCTCCGCCGAATGTTGCCCTCGGCAACAGTGAGGGCATATGCGGATGATCTTGTGACTGTGTTGGAGAACTTGTCATGGGCGCTACCTTGTCTCGTGCAGATCTTCGCCGAGTTTGCAGCTGCTTCCGGCCTCCGCCTCAACTTCCGGAAAGTGGTGGTGGTGCCGCTTGGAGACAGTCCCCCAGACGTTGTCACGCAGCAGATATCGGCCACGTTCCCTACCTGGGGGCTTGTGCAGTGCAGGCAGTGGGCCAAGTATCTGGGATTTGCGCTCGGGCCAGGACGTGCGGAGCACAGCTGGGACGCAGCCCTGGAGAAAGCGGTCGCGAGGGCGCGGCTGTGGTCGCGCTTGGCCTTGGGCTTGCAGTACGCGGCGTTTGTGTACAAGGTGTACGTGGCCTCTACGCTGAGTTTCCTGCTGCAGCTGGAGCCCTTGCCGGTTCGTTGGGCTTCCGTGGAGACGCAAATTCTTCGCATCCTCGTGCCTGGGCCTTGCCACTGGTGTCGGCCCGACGAACTTCACGGACTGCGGAGGGATTTTGGTTTCCCGTGCGAGTTCACGGACTTGCGCGTCGTGTCGTTGGCCGCGAAGTTCAGGGTGGCGCACGTGGAAGCACGGGCTCAAGGAGGGCTCTGCCATCGCGCATGGCTTCAACGCCTAGCAGCGGCGGAGCACGCAGCCGACCGCGTGTACCGCCGAGCCCGGTGGTCGGACTGGTTCGCTGGATCTTACTGTCACAACCTGGCGGCCGCGGTCGAGAACTTTCGTCGGCAGGGCGTCGCCATCTCCGCAGTGCTTGAGCGCGCAGTTGGCACCGCGGCCTGCCCTTGGACGCAGGCGCAGACCCGCCGCGCGACAACTGGGATTCAGCGCGCAGCCTGCGCTCTTCTTCAAGAGCGGTGTCGGCGCTGTCCAGAAACCCGCATGCGGGCCAAGCTGGAACGTTGGGAAGTGCTTCTTTTCCCGCGAGTGCGGGCGCAGAGGGCGTTGGCGATGCTTCGCAGGGTTGCGCGCCTGGCCGCGCCCCGCCGCGGGTGGCAGCCGCAGTGCTTCGCACGCTATGGGCAGGCTGGTGCACAGCTCGCCGTTTCGGCGGTTGCTCTGCTTGCATCTTCTGTGGCTTGGAAGGCGGGGACTCCGTGGAGCACGCGTCCGTCTGCCCGACGCTTGCGCGCACGGGTGCGGCGTTCTTGCGACTCCCGTACCGCCGGGAGAAAGAGCAACGTCGCGTGTCCTTCTTGCTGCTCGACCAGCCGTCGGAGCTCACCGATGAAGGTCTTCTGCTGGGCACCCTCCACGTGGCGGCGGCGTACCGGCTCCACTGTCAATTCCGACGTCATCCATCGGCCTTGCGGGGCGGAGATGCGGTGCGACGGGCACTGGAGCAGGCAGCTAAAGAGCTGGTGCAAGGCCACAGCGCAGCCATGTCGATGATGGATGCTCGCTGGAGTTCCGGGCGGGCGGCGGCGGGGACTTCAGAGCAGTGATGTGGAGCCACGTAGCCGCGACAGCAGGCGGCGGCCACAGGTGCTGGTCTAGGTGATGTTTCGTTTTTTTTGTTTTGCTTTTGCGCTGCGCCCCCGGGTAGCCTGGGGCACGCTAGCTGCCGCTGCTGTGTCCTCCTCCCCCCCCTCCCCTTCCAGTGCCCCGTTAGACGACATCGGTGTCCACATCTTAGTTTTTTGGTGCGGGTCGACTTGGGCTGCGCGGCCGACGCGAGGCGGCATTTAACTCCCGTTTCTGCGTCCGCCTGCGCGGTGGGTCGCCCTGTATCGGCGCCCGTGCGCATTCACGCCATATTTACTTCCTCGACCGGCGTCGAGTGTTGCTTGTTGTATTTGCTATCCCGGGCAGCGCAGCCCGCCTCGCTATGATACGACCCCTGGGTATTTCGTATCATTGTAGTCTTCGAAGCTCCGCCACAGGAGGGGCAAACATTTACACTGATAGGCATGCGGGATAGTCTGTTCCCGTTTCTTCTCCTCTTCTTCCTCCCCCTCCTCTTCCCCCGCCTGTGTCTCGTTGCTTGATGCTGTCCTAGTCATCTGGTTGTTCACCCCACATCGCTGCAACAAATGTGGCTGTTTTCCCGCCTGGTTTGCACGACCTGCCAGCGGAAACCGTGACAGGCGCTGCTTTGCAACCATCTCCTGCTCGTGTGGGACATTTGTGCGAGTACCCCAGGCTATGCCCTGGCTGGTCTATGCATTCGCGAGCAGGATTGTTTTCAAAAAGAAGGGATGGGGATATGTTCCAGGCTGGTGAACACCTCATTCATCTCGGAGAGGAAACAGCCACACAAACATAAACTTTTGGCGCTCCGCGCGGATATCTTGGATCCGCGCTGGGCCCCCCTGGCGGCGCTTCCGGCGCCGCCCCTGGCGCGCTCCGCGCGCCAGGGGGGTCCGGCGCGGATCCAAGAAATCCGCGCGGAGCGCAGCAAGTTTATGTTTATGTTGTTTTCTCTTCTTCTGTCGCCGCCCCCCGTTAGTTCACGCGCAGAAGGGAGGGCCTCAGAGAGGAGGGGCCCAGGGATACGTTGGAGGCTTCGAGGTTCGAGGCCCTCGGCGTCGAGGTCCTGGGTTTGCGGGCGCCTTCGCCGGTCCTCGTCCGCTCTCCAGCCACGGGGTCTGCCTTCCAGCGGCTTCCTCTCGCCGAGACGGGGTGCCTGGATCGTCCCACGTAGGGCCGCCGGAGAGCCGACTGGCGAAGCAGTGGGGAAGCGTCCTGGCGTGCCTACAGGCCCACCAAACAGTGTTCCAAGAGCCTCTTTGTGGTTTCCCCGACGTGTTCTTGGGACACTTCTGGCTGGGACTGTCTTGTTCCAACACGTCGGGTGCATGTTCTAAGGACCTTGCTCTTGTTCTCAGAGCACTCTTGGGCTCTGAGAGCCTGTCGTGGTAGGCCTACAGGCATGCCGGGACGGCCGGTCCTTGCTCAACAGGGGCAGGGCTCGAGCTAAACGGTGTTTTGGCAATTTCGTGGACCGTTTTCGTTTTGATTTCGTTTCGCAGCAAGTGCGGAACGAAGACAGAACTAGGGATGACGAAAACCAGACGAACATGGAAAACACTGTTTCACTCGAGCCCTGAACAGGGGTGCAGCGGTGGGGGGCGCTGGGCTCCGCGGGACGCTTCGGCCCCCAAGCGCCCACGCATCGCCGATCGGACGGGGGCCCCGGACCGCCCACCCCGCCCAGGGCCGTGTGGGCTGGCTGTCGGTGGCGGGCACGAGCATCAAGTCGGGCCTGTCCCCCTACAGGGGGATTTTCGACGACAAATATAAAAAAATACACCAAAAATTGTCAAAAGATAGTCCAAACATAGCCTGGGGACTATTTTTTTAAATCGTATTGTTTGACCTTTTTGGAATATTGTTGGGGTGTTTTTTTTATTTTTCGTCGAAAATCCCCCTGTAGGGGGACAGGCCCGACCTAAACCTAAGTCTGGTATAGCCAGGACCCCAGGTACGGGGACCCGGTTAGCAGTGGGGCCCTGGAGCCTTTAAATTCGCCAGAAGCACTAACCTGGGTCTGCCGTAGCTTGTGTTCTGTTCGGGTGACGGCAGTTTTGGTCAGTGGAACGGGCGGGGGGGGGCCTCCCCCAGTGCACATCACTAAACCAGGTCCCATTACACCCAGTTGCGCCAACGCCCGACTAAGGATCAGACGCACGCAGTTCTGTCAGATATCGTGTCGTACACTCGGGCCTGACGAGAAATGGGGGGGAGGGAAAGGGAGCTACGACATCTGCTGCAAATAGCCGTTTCGGCCCCACCGCTGGGAGTTGTCCTCGCTACATTGGCACCTCCGGCGCCAGGAGGCGCCAGGGAAGTCAGCTGCATGAGCTGATTCGCTGAGCCTCCCTTTTTCGTTCTCGTCCGACCCACGACATACAGAGAGGGCAGACTTGGAGCAGCTTTGCATCGCGCTCGGAGCAGTATGTACATGCGTTGTACGGGAGGTTGCTGGTCTGGGTGGATTCTAGGCCTCCGACCGGTGGGACATACGCTTCGGTTGAAACACTGCAACCGTATAGGGAAGAGTTCACGTTCAGCCAGGAGGTGTTTCTCGTGTCGCTCTGACCCGTTAGTCGTGCTCCGGCAAAGCAGGCCAAGACAGACGGCATTTCCCTGCCCGTGCCTCCCCTCCCTTCCCCTCCCTCCCTCCCCTCTATTGGCACTTCCTCCCCCCCCTCTCCTTGCCCAGACCTGCGACGTCCTGTTTTTTTCAGGACGGCGTCCCCGGAAGTCCAGACCCTTTCCCCACGGCCTGTTTTTCATCCTGAGTCGTTTTTTGACGGTCCCGGGGCCCAGAGAGTGGCCCCCGGGCCCGGAAATAGCGAAGAATTCTAGACGGTTCGCGCAACCCCACCAGCCCATCCAGAAACGATGCCCAGAGGAATTGCTTCGATCAGGGCCCTCTTGAAGCGCTCTTGGGAGCCTTGGGAGCGCTCTCGGAGCCCTCTAGGGGCATCTTGAAGCCATCTGGAGGCCTCGGTGAGAAAGACAAAAACATTGATTTTCCAAAGGTTTTGGAAGGATGTTGGCCTCTTCGGCCTCCTGGGAGAGCTCTTTGGCCGCCGTCTTGGAGCGGTCTTGGGGCCTCTTGGAGCATCGCGGGAGCCATCTTGAGGCATTTGGGGATATCTTGAGCCATCTTGGAGGTCATTTTGGGCTCTCACAGGCGCTCTTGGAGTCATCTCTGCCCCCCCCCCCCCCCCCCCCCCCAGGAGGCCAACATGTGGCCAAAACCTTAGTACAATCAATGATTTTGGCATTGTCGCCGAGGCCTCGTGGAGCGTCTTGGGTGCCTCTGGGGAGCCTCTTGGGGGGTCCCTTGGGGGTCTCCTGGGAGCCTCTTGGGGGCATCCTGGGGGCCTCTTGGGGGCCTCTTGGGGCCTCCTGGCCACCTCTTGGGGTCCTCTTTGGGCACCCTGGGGAGCCTTGGGAGCGCTCGTGGGGCCATCTCGGAGGAGATCGATCAAAGAAGGGGGGGTCCTTAATTAGCGCCGCCCTCCTACGAGGCCAAAATGGGGCCAAAACCTTAGTGATTTGGGTTTCCTCGCCGACACCTTTTTGGACGCCCTGACCACTCGCGGGGCGCCCCGTCCAGGTCCAGGCGGGGGGAAGGGGAGTCGTAAACCCTTCCCCGAAAGGGAAGAAGGGAGAGGGAAGAGGAAACGCTCTAGACCACCACCGCCCAGAGGGCTGGTGGGACTTGCCGCCCCGATGTCTTCTACGACGCGAGCATGTCTGGGTCCCTTTCCCCTCCTCTCCCCTCCTCCCTCCCTCCCCGCCCCTCCCCGTTCCCCCCCTCTTCCCTCGCCCCCTCCTCCCCCCCCTGTCCCCAGGCGGCCCCTCGCATCTGGCCTCGCGCCTCTCCGCGCTCATCCCATTCTGCCGGCCCCGCACCTGCGCTGGACGATGCCAGAGCCAAGTCGGGCCTGTCCCCCCTGCAGGAAGCTGCAAGACTTGACGAGGCCCATAACAATAGGGGGATCGGAGAGGGCTATGGGTGCGTGTTGTCGGAGGGGAGTCCCCGCTCGAACGGGAGCGTTCCCCAGGGTCCGACAACCCGCACCCATACCCATAACCAGCCCTCCTCCCAACGACCTCCTTATGGGTATGGGTGTGTGTCGTTCGTCCGTCAAGACTATCCAAACATAGTCGGGGGACGATGTTTGGAATCATGTTTACATTTTTCCTTTATTGATCTTTGCTCTATGATTCATGTCTCCTCCACTTGGCATCGCTCGGACGTGTGCAGTTTTCTGTCGGCGAGGACCATCGAGGAGCATCCTTGATGATTTGGCGAAAAAACCAAGCACGAAACCGAAAAAGGCACAGGGAATGGACGTCCGAGCGATGGTCAGTCCAGGGTCCGCCTGCAGGAGGACATGCCCGACCCGGAATGCCGAGGCCACGGTCGGCCTCGCGCCGTCGCCCCGGGATCCCGGGCGCCGCGTGCGGGGCGCGCGCGCGCGCTCCGCTGCGGCGAGGCGTGCCGTGCGCGCCTCCGCGGGGTGGCGCATGCAAGACGGAAGCGCCGACAGCGCGCTGAGCTTCTATTGCTCCCATCGAAGCCTCCAACGAATCCCTGGGCCCCTCCTCTCTGAGGCCCTCCCCTCTGCGCGTGAACTAACGGGGGGCGGCGACAGAAGAAGAGAAAGCAACATAAACATAAACTTTCTGCGCTCCGCGCGGATTTCTTGGATCCGCGCCGGACCCCCCTCCCTGGCGCGCGGAGCGCGCCAGGGGCGGCGCCGGAAGCGCCGCCAGGGGGGCCCAGCGCGGAGCCAAGAAATCCGCGCGGAGCGCCAGAAGTTTATGTTTATGTGGTTGTTTCCTTTTCGAGATGAATGAGGTGTTTACCAGCCTGGAACATATCCCTATCCCTATGCTGGGCACCTCTTCATCACGATGCCAATCTTAGGGATTCCCTTGTTTTTTGAGGGCGCATCCCTAAGGTTGTCATCGCTTTTTGGCATGTCAATCTTAGGGATAGGGATCT